CTGTAATAATTCTGTAGTATATTACTTGTGTGGTGTAGAGGATAATTATTTATGTAGAGATATTGCTTAGGACTTAAAAGTTGTAAGATGATGTCATGGGGTAGGACTAGATAAGTCTAACTTCTTCCTACTCCGTTCAAGCATGTACTAGGTATTATTGTTGGATATGTGTGAAATTACATGTGTTGACATATCAACTGTTTTACATGCTTGAATGAATAAATCAAATCAAATCAAATCAAAATCAATTTCCTGTCCTTAATAATATGTTACGTCAACTAAATACTGTGCAAAGCAAATATGGTCTTAAGTGGCCAGTGTCACAGCTTTTATTGGTTATTTCAGACAAAATGTAACACTTCCTCAAATAGCCAGAATGTACTGGCTTATGAAAATTTCTCAGTACAGTAACATCTGAGGGGATAAGGAGAGAGCTGCCTATAACTGCAGGTTGTTATTATTTGGGAGGTTTTGGGGTCTTATCCTGAATTAATAACATGTGAGAGGGAGGTCTGCAGGGAGCTCTGTTCGCAAGTTCATGGTAGTCAATTACTGAGAGAATATCTCCACCAAAAAACCTCAAGCAGTGTTTGGAGCTTTAATATGTTTCAGATATGCCACCTTAGTGTGAGAGGTTAAGCTTTATTCCTATGTCCAGGGGTTAGCATATCGTGGACTTCATACACCATACTGGATTTGATGAGAAGTCAGGTAATTGGTTTAGAAATCATTTGTCTGATAGATCACAAGCTGTTGTAGTATATTGTTTTAAGTCTAATTTTATTGGTATTAGAGGAGTCCCACAAGGATCCATTTTTTGGTCCCACTTTATTCACTATTTTTATTAATGATCTAGGATCCAAAGTAACTAAGTAATTTATATGCATGCATCTGCCAAAATCCTGAAACCACTTGACTCAGTGTATCATGCTGCTATTAGATTTCTTACTGGAGATCCCTTTAGGACTCAACATTGTGAACTATATCAGAAAGTAGGTTGGTCATCTTTGACGATGGGAAGGAGCATCATTGTATGTTATTCATTTATAAAGTCCTACTTAGTAAGTTGCCTGAATATATTACATACCTCCTGAGTTATAAACCATCAACATACCAGACCAGTTCACAAGATTATCTTGATCTGCAACCCTTTTTTTTGTCAATACAGAAGTAGGAAAGATGTCCTTCTGTTACTATGCCCTGCAAAGATGGAAGTGTTTACAAAGAAAAAAAAAACCTAAACGCTATGCTAATTCCTTTATTTCAATTTAAACAGCTTTTATATATTATTTCACAGTTTAAATGTGTTTGTAACAGATTATTTAGTTACTGTGTTTTAATATGACTTTATTTATGTTAATTGTATATATTTAAGTGTTATGTGTTTTGTGATTTTGGATTTTTAACTGATTTTATTTGATTCATGTGTACAGTATATGTTTATTACTGATTCAAAGGTGCTAACTTTATGAGAATGAGAGTTTGCTCTCAATTGATGTTTTCCCTGAATAAATGAAGGTGATGATGAAGTTATTTGATGATATAAAAAGGGGTGTATTTTGAATGAGACAGTTTTGATTGGCGGTCTGATATGTTACTCAACTACTCAGTCACTACTGCACAGAATATGGTGGCAGCCAAGAAGGCAGCCACCATATTCATAGTATTTTGGCTTCACCTTTGCATAATGGATGGAAGTGGTAATGAGGTGTCCATATTTACACAGTCAGTGGGCATACTGATAACATAATCATTTTTGAAAAAATCAGCTAAGTATGACATTTACCATCTTTGTTTTGTAACATTGTAAACATTTTCTAATTAGTACTATAGACAAAGTAGAGCTGAGGTTGATGACAAAGAAATGCTATCCTAAACCCCAAATCAATATTTGACCTGCTCTGATTGTTCTAGAGGAAAAGTCAGGGGATCATCAAAATCAATAGGTGACCTCTGTCCTCTGGGGGACATAAACATTTGCACAGAAGTTCATGGAAATCCATCAACCAGTTGTTGGTGTTACATACATAACTGTGTGTAAAACAGCTCCATCGCATTTGATTTCATATTGACCAAACACGTAAAACAGCATTACACATCAGTTGTGTACATTCTCTACATGTTGCTGTATAGAATGAAAAATGAAAGGTTGGTGTGTGGGATCATAAATATCTGGTTTCTGTCAGTCACACCTGTTCAGTACTTGCCATATTTGTTCACTTAAATCAACACACCAAAGGAGAGAAGAAACACCATCTGCTGGCTTGATATCACACCTGTGAAATCAGATGTACCTGCCACCAACACATTGTATTACCTATTGTTTTGCAGGCTTTTGCAAGTTACACTTCCAAACACAGACAGCAAATATTATGGTACCTCATCTGTGGATTTCTTTTTCTCTTCCCCTTCACACAGGTAAATCTGGCCATTATGCAGAAGCAGCTATCAGAGATGGCCATCGGGCACCCACGCCAGTCCGGCTCCAGTTCACGTCAGAATGGATTCTCAGGAGGGGTGGGCGCCCTTGGCATTATGAACAACCGCCTGGCAGAGACTAGCGTGGATAGATAGGGTGTGAATCATTTCCAAAGGAGACAAAAGGCTGAGTGGATGAGGCTAGTACAGACAAACTGACACTGAAGACTGCCTTCCTGAGGAAACAACAATAACTGGCTGATGTACAAGACTGAATTTATAACTACATAATGCTGTCTATCCTTTCCATCGACAACCAGGTTGACCCCAAGCAGCTGCAGCTTAGAATCACAGCCCACTTTCCTGTCAAGAGCATGAGATGACCTGCTCCATAAATGATGTATGATACTATAGTTTTCCAGAGTCTCACATCTGGACTAGGCTCAGAGTGCTGTTATGTTCCCCAGTGAAGGATTCAGTTTCCATGGTGATAACAAAAGGTCTGCCTCGAGACATTCTGTCTATAAAGACCCAATGCACTACATCGCTACTTCACACCCAACCACAACTTCCACTCATCTGCAGTACTTTACTATCCTCAGCATGGCTCTACCAATATCAATGAGAGAAAAATAACTTTAATAAAATGGGTGTTTCTTGTTTTTGTGTTAGACTGTGGTTATTACATAACATTGTGTTGTGTCGAAAATGAAAAGAAAGCTGAACAACCATAAATGCAGAACACAATTTTACAACCAAACGATCAATGGCGCTCTCATTCGCATCACTCATGACTCAGACAAAATTTTCACACCCATATTATATCCTGTTCAATGGCTTCTATCTTTGGCTCTGCTTTCATTCACTATCGCAACAAACCGGGGACAAAACCACAAAAAAAGAACTTCATTACAAACCAAACAGGCCGATCTCCAGCTGAATGGATAGTACACTGAATCAGAGATTAAGCCTATTATATGAGACTGCTGTTTACATTAGGGTTTGCTGCACATTATCCAAGCACAGATGTAGACATGAGGACATTTTCACACCCTAATGTTGTCCAAGTCCATTGGTTATTGGTTTTGATATAAATGCAGAGAAACAAGATGTCCCAGTACTCATTTGATTTTAGCCTGTTAGATTTATGTTTTTCTTGTAGTCTAGATTCACAACAAGTCTAACAAATAAAAAGGACAAAAGACAGGATTGTTAATAACTGTGGCGACACCTAATGGGAACAACCGAAGGTAGAGTAGAGTAGTAGCTATGAAGTGGAATCTTACACAAGACTCTTAAGTCATCTGGAAACACTAAAAAGTCAGATGGAGACAGTTTTTTTTAACAAACTCACCAACCTAACATTAGCTTGTTTAGCTAGCTACACAGCTGATGAAACCAGCTGTCAACAGTGGTCATTTTAGCCAGCAGAGGGGTGAAATAGATAGAAATGAGAAGGCTACTTGTTTGTACCTCTGTCTGAAAACAAGGAGTTATTGTTTAAAATTGTTAAAAACTTTTGAGTGTTAAATCTGCTGTTTAACTGTATGTGTGCTGTGCATGAATGGAAATATCAACAATAATAAAGGAAAGCAGGGCTATGGGAACAGGCAACAGGGAACAGCTTTAATTCATTACTTATAAACAACACTTTGGAGTGGATTTAATTGATATTTTTGAGTTTTAGACCTTCTAAGGTACCGAGGACATGTATCAAAGGTCACCTATATATACAGGTCATTAACCTACAGCACATCCAGTATTTGAACACTTTATTCTCATTAGTACCAATACTGAGACAGCAGCTACATATTCAGCAAGAAAGCTAACTAACAGTACACAGAGAGAGAGAGAAAATAACACCGACCTGAATAAATCCCTGAGCACTGAAATCTAATATCTTACACAGAATAATAAAACTAACAAAAATAACTTGAATCTAGCAACCATCACTCTTTGTTATGGAAACAACTTCACACTGAGACAGAACAATGTCATACACATTCCACAAGGATGCCGCTTTGCCATTGCCAGTGTTCAAGAATATGCTTGCTGCACACACACGTTTGTTTTCAATCCTTGTGGAGACTTTACATTGACTTTGATTAATTTCCTGCAGTTGTATCCTAACTACTATTTGCCTAAGCTCACTCTAACCTTAAAACAAGTCAATCATCACCCTAAAATTCAATGCTTTATATGATGGGGACCAGCATTTGGCCCCCACATGGAAAGCAAGCATAAGCAGGGTGTAAGCAGTTTTTGGTCCCCACAGTGTGTAGACCAGGTGTCTAGACATACACACACAAAATAGTCTAATAAAAAATCAGAGATTATGCCATAGAAGCTGTGCCTACACAGATAAAAATAGCTTTGAACAAATGCCAGTGTGTTCCTGTTTGTTCATATGAGTTTGTAAGTGCACAAATGCGTGTGTGTGTGTGCTACACATGACACTTGGACAGATGCAGGCATACAATGACTCTTTGTTAAAGCTCTTACTTGAGTCACATCAACTCCCAGACAGATACTGACACCACTACTGTATCCGTTGCATTGGAGACAATTTGAAACACACTCTAATGTCATGTGGGATTTGATAATATGGTAGATTCTACTCTGTGCAGACGGGTTTAGTGTAACTCAGTGGTGGAAAATAATGAAGCACCATTAGTTTGCTGCTGTATTTAAGTACATTTTTCATCTGTACTTAAGTAGATTTAATTATGGCTGCTTTGGTTTTTACTCCACTACATCTAAGGTCAAATCTCTATACTTTATACTCCACCACATTTCTAATCAAAGTTGCATTACACATTACAATCACATTGTTTTACACATTTCACAATACAGCACTTTTCTCTTCTTTTTTAATGAAAACAAATCAATAGCGAGACAGGAATCACTTCACTAAACCAATCAGCACAGCATGGATAGGTTTGTTTTTAAAGAATGGAAATATTTAAGGGAAATCACCATGATTTCTAAGATAAAAATCACTACTAGCTTACTACTACATAATCAAAATAATTATTAATGTTTTCATTAAAAATGCCGATTGGATATTTAAAATACGGAGAGTTTAAAGTGACTATTAGACTTACATATTATAGTTTAAAAACATGCTTTTAGTATAACTCACAGCGATCTGTTATTTAATTCTTTTTTTTTTTTTTTTTTTAATTTATTTTTTTTTATTTTTTACCTTGAGTGTTTTGCCCTACAGAGTTGCCGTACTCCGACGTCATTTCAGAGCGACGAGTAATAATGGTAAGTGAGCAAGCATATTTCTCAGGGGCTCGTTTATGTATTATATTAAAATGTATTATTCGCCAAGGCGTTGTTACTTATAGTGTTTGAAACATTGGCATTCTGCCACAATGTAGTTTCAACTGATCGTACAGCTTATTTGTTAAGTAGTAACAGGATTAAAACTAGATAACAGCCTATTCGCCGAAGCCTAGCTACGCGAGCTTTTTTCTAGTTTGGGAGCAGTCGTTATCCAATCGATAGCTATTCTTAATGAAGTAATTCATAAAGTAGACAGCTTTTCTTATTCTGAAGAAGTTCGTTATGTTCCTTATTGGGTGACATAGTGTCATCGTTAAAATAGGTTTCTATTAGTACAAGGTAAATGCTGAAGCTGCCTGTTTTTTTTTTTTTTAGCTGAAGCTACCTATTCTTGCAGATAACGGCGACGCCAGCCAACTTTACTGTAACGTCAGACAGATCAGTTAATTAGCGAATTTGGGAAATTACTACCGTGTGTATTACTTGGAATGAACTGGTACCTACCCTTTTTCAGCTTTATTAACGCATCTCTTTCTTCCAGGGTCAAAGCCAGAGTGGAGGCCACGGTCCAGGTGGAGGCAAGAAGGATGACAAGGTGAGAGTAACAGCCTCTGCTCGCTAATATGCGAATTGGCTTGTTTTGGCAGCTAAACACGGAACTTTTTAACGACCTCTGAACAAAACAAACTCGTTCATTGTACTGAATTTTAATATTAAAGCCAACATTTCATTGGCAAACTAATTTCGTTTGTTAAAAGGTTTTGACAATATAACAGGTATGTAGAATGTTTTAACTAATATATGACAAAGCTTTCAGTAATTATCTCTTGTTTGATGTTATAGCAATCTGACATTTTGTTTTGTTTCAATGCTTTTCCTATTATCATCTGACCAGTCATCTGCACATGCTTTGTGTCAAATACAGGCCATACTTAGAGTTGTATAAATACTAAATAAATGGTACTTTATGTAGTTAAAGATCTTAGCTGTTTGTATCAAGGTACCAAGCCAAAGTGTTTGCTAAGTTTGGCTTACGTTACCATGTAAATATTTTTGCTACATGTTTGGGAAATGTTGGTACTGTAGTTTATGTATTCTGGCTGTTATATTTTCTGATATCCCACATTTAATTTAAGGATAAGAAGAAGAAGTATGAACCACCAATTCCCACCAGAGTTGGCAAGAAAAAGAAGAAGACCAAAGGACCAGATGCGGCCAGCAAACTTCCTTTGGGTAAGAAAGTCAAAAAAAAAGCTTTGTTCTGGATCACAAATCTGAAATTTTGGCTGACATTTTTCATTTCTGTTAAAGCGTGTTTTGTACTGTCACTGTTTATTTGGAAGTGTGCAATGAGCAGCTTTTGTTGAATATTCTGTTTGAGCTCACAGACTAATACTGTTGAAACTCCATATATGGCCTGGCCTGTGGTGGTGGGGGGATCAAAACAGATGCCTTTCAAGTTTAGAACAGAGGCAAAGTCTGTGAAACAAAGTGGCTGTTATTTTAGGAATTTGGTGTTTATATATTTTTACATAATCCTTACATATGTTGGCTTGTGTCTGTCTTTCAGTCACCCCTCACACTCAGTGCCGTCTGAAGCTGCTAAAACAGGAGCGGATCAAAGATTACTTACTTATGGAGGAGGAATTCATCAGGAACCAGGAACAGATGAAACCTCTGGAGGAGAAACAGGAGGTCAGACTTTTAACACAAGTAACTCACAAGCTTTTTGTGCCACATAATTATGTAAAGTAATTCAGTTCTTGTCTTTTTTATTTTTTTTTTAATAGGAGGAGAGGTCAAAGGTGGATGACCTTAGGGGAACCCCAATGTCTGTGGGCACTCTAGAGGAAATCATTGATGATAACCATGCCATTGTTTCCACCTCGGTAGGATCAGAGCACTATGTCAGCATTCTGTCCTTTGTGGATAAGGATTTGTTGGAGCCAGGCTGTTCTGTCCTGCTCAACCACAAGGTATTGTTCAGCTTATTTTAAGCAGATTTCTAATTGTTTCTAATTCAAGACAATAAACTTGACATATTTACAGTGAAGATCTCTGAAGATCTCCTCAATCCCTCCGACATGCCTTCCGTAAAGGAAGCCAGGGCTGGAGACTTGGGAGGGGACTTGTCTATTACCCTGGCTGAAGTTGCCGAGGTAGTTAAGGAACTCCTCGGTGGCAAGGCTCTGAGGGTGGATGAGGTCCGCCCCGAGTTTCTCAAGTCTATGGATGTTATGGGGCTGTCTTGGTTGACACGACTCTGCAGCACTGCGTGGAGTTCGGGTAAGGTGCCTCTGGACTGGCAGACCAGGGTGGTGGAGAGTGTGTTCCATCTATAGAGGAATCACATTTCTTAGCCTCCCAAGGAAAGTCTATGCCAGGGTACTGGAGAGGAGAATCTGGCCGATAGTCAAACCTCAGATTCAAGAGGAACAGTGTG